TTGTAGCAACCAGGTTGACCTTAGAAGCCTAAATGGTGGAGGCGCGAAAGATTACAATATGAGAGAAGGAGATCGGAGTGAGATAAGACGACGTTTCGGTCCATTTATTTTATTCAACGCCCATAACGGCCTACATCCAACCTGACTAGTGAAGCAAAACACGCATAATTAATTTGTCATTAAAGTAAAACAACACTGATATTTGGGATAAATGGGTACTTTTTTCTCCTGTAACTCAAAAAACTGACCTTTCTCCTAAATGGCATGGTTTTTTCGAAGTTCAACCATGATTTTTTCCTGAAATTAACATTCTTGGGCTGACAGGCTTGATTTAAACAATGCTACTTCCAGGCTTAAATTGATAGTTGAATCGCGCCAATGAGAAAATCAATCTCCCTATAATCAGCAAATCCGCTCCTCCCTCATTTCTTTTATCCTGGCAACTTTGCGAGGAAACTCAGCGGATCCATCACGCCCTCTGAAATTTCCCTTCAAAAAAAACCCATACCGTCTGGAGTGTTCAGATTCTTCATCACCTCTGGGCACCTCTATTGACACATGCTTGCATTTGCTCGGTTCTGTTTTCGTTGTTGTCTTATGCGGGTTGCCGATGTGCAAAGATGTACTGATGGCCTAGAAAGTGCCAGAATCAACAAGATAGCCTATACGCAGCGCTAAAGTTTCGAGCTGGACACAGCTACATTTCATTCCTTTTGATATTTGCTGGTTACGCTAAAATCATTAATCTGAAGACTGGCTTAACTATTATATTTCCAAATAACGATTTTCGCTGAAATCATTGTTGAATCCGATCAGTGTGATCCGGATTTACAGATCGAATCCAAAAATGTCCTCCATGACTGTTCGAATTATCAGTTCTGCAGGAGACGGAAGGAGGGGAGGGGAGGGGGACAAAACTGTTAAAAAAATGCATATCTAGGAGATTCTAGACGAATCTGTCTACACTGGATACTAAGATTCCAGCATCTTCATCCTCTGCCACCCAACAGCAAACCCGTCTTGCATTTATCGACGACAGAAGATAAGTAATCCTCCAAATCAGAAGTGGAAAGGCTCCCAGTAAAGATGGCATTACATCGAACTCACTGGTTGTTCTGGAGAGAACACAATCTGGAAAGTTCTCGCCGATCGGTTCAATCG